GGACCCTTGTCCTGCCTGTCCCTCCCTGTAGTGTCACTGTCGCTGAGACAGAGGAGACAGGCCCCGTAACATCACGTCCTGGGGGCTTCCCTGTGAGGCCCCCTCTCCCAGGAGGTCAAAGTCAGGACCCACAGGAAATCTAAGCTCTGGACAAGGATTCTCTCCTTTACACCGGGAGACATTGAGGCCCAGACAGGGGAAGGGGTGTCCAAGTCAGCAAATTCAGAGGCACCTGAACCCCCGCATGGCTCAGCCCCTGTCCCTCATGGAGGCACCGACCACCTCCCACAGAGCCCCTCTCTTACCCCTCTGGGGGCCTGACTCCATCGGGGGAAGCCGCGGATCCTCAGAGTCTCCTGGGGATCAGAATGTGGGGTGAGGGGTGGGGGCTGCCTTCTCCCCACTTGAGCCTAGCTCCTCTGCCCTTAGCTGGGCCCCCACATCTCCCTCTGCAGTGGCCATCCCACCTGTCACCTGCCAGCCTCAGAGCCTAGGAGCCTGGGTTTTCCCAGCATCTCTCCCTGACTCCCAGCCCCCCTGGAACACAAGCCTGTCCTTAAGTGTCTGGGGAGCATTAGATCCTCTGAGAGACTCAGAACCGCCCTGGGGTGGTCTGTCTCCCTCTGAGCAGAGGGAACCCCGTGGTTCATCAGCTGTGGACATGGGCCCTGTGGGTGGGGGCTGGGGTCCAGGTGTCCTAGGAAGGAGGCCAGAGCAGGTGAGAAGCAGGACTGACTCTGGAGGCTCCACCTCACTCAGATCCTCCTGCATCTGCCCTGTGGCCCTTCAGACCTTCCCACTGCCCACCTGGCACCTTCCTAACCCAGGTGAGGGGAAGGGCTGAAAGGGGGAGGAGGATCTCTGAGGGGAAGATCTCCTCTGGGTGACCATCCCTACAGCCCCTCCCTCCCTTTCAGGCCATGATTGTTCTGGGGACAGGACCCTGAGCTCACAGCTCAGCAGACAGGGTCAGGGGCTCCTCACCTGAGACCAGGAGTTCCAGGGGCTCACTGGGGAGTGACAGCAGGAAGGGGGAGGAGCTGTGTGAGCTGTAGCACCTGTAGGTGCCCCCGTGGGCTGAGGTCACAGGACTCATGGAGAACTCTGCCTGGGACTGCTGAGCTCCGTGCTTTAATCTCAGACGCAGGGGGGAATCGGCTGCCCCCTCCTTGGACAGAAGGAACGTGTCCCTCGGGCTCTGTGACTGACACAGCAGGGTCACGTTCTCTCCTGAGGCCACCCTGGGACCTGGCTGCACCGAGAGGGAGGGTCTGTCCGGCAGGTGTCCTAGAGAGAGGGAGGGAGGGTGAGGGCTGCTGCCCACCTTGTTCTGACCTGAGAGTCACCAGGCCTCTCTCTGAGGACCCTCCTCTTTGTCTGTCTCTGTTTCTCTGAGTATCCCGCTCTCCCCTCTAACCCCATATCTCTCTCTGTCTCTCTCCCTCCCTGGGGCCTGCACTGTCATACTGGCCTCACCACCTGAGACCCCAACAGGGCCTGTGCAGAGTCAGGGTCCCTGACTGAACCCACTGGCTCCTCTCCTGCCACCAGGATGTCCAGGGGGTCACTGGGGGCCGACCACTCAGAGGAGAGGTTGTATCCATCGTAGCATCTGTACCGGCCCCCGTGGGAGCTGCTCACAGTGTCCAGGAGGAAGTGGCCTGAGAGAGCCCAGCCTGGGGCTGCAGGACAAGGCTCTGGGGGAGGTCCCGTCCCCCCTCCTTGTGCAGAGCGAATCTGTCATAGCCGACATCAGAGCGACACTGGAGGGAAAGGTTCTGTCCAGAGGCCACAATGGGGCCCTGCTGGCTCAGGAGGGAGGGCTTCCCAGACTCACCTGGGGAGACCAGAAGTGGATTACTGGGCCTCATCCTCCCACAAACCCCTTCTCCTGGCCTGGCCCACAGGTCTCACTGTCTCTCTCTATTTCTCTGGCCCAGGAGCCCCTGTGCTCCCCTCACCCTTTCACATGGGGCTCCCCTCGCAGCAAAAATGCCAATAACCTGGTTGGCACCTCAATCCATGGATGGGACAATAATGGGACTCACCTGAGACCAGGAGCTCCAGGGCATCACTGGGGTGTGAGCACACCTGGGGGCGGTTCCTGTAACAGCCATAGCATCTGTACCTCCACCTGTGTGTGGGGGTCACAGGGCCCAGAGGGAACAGGGCCTGGAACTGCCCACTGGGCTGTGGCTGTGAGTCCAGGGTCCAGGAGAGCCTGTGATCTCCTTCCTTAGTCAGAAGGAACCTGCCAAATCCCTGCCTTGAGCCACACTGGAGGGTCACGTTTCCTCCTGAGGGCACGACAGGGCTGGGCAGCACTGAGAGGCTGGGTTTGCTGTAGGCTCCTAGGAGAGGAGGAGGCAGCGTGTTGGGCTCACACCTCCCTTATGTACCCCAGGGCTGGGCTGTGAGAGGGAGAGACCCTGAGAGCAGACCCCCTTCCTGAGGGCAGAGCCTGAGGCTGGGACCCCTGAGTGTCCTCTCACCTGTCGTCACCACCAACTCCAGGGGGTCACTGTACTCTGACAAGCCAGTGGGACTGCGATAGTAACAGCGATATCTCCCTGCCTGTAGATTTGTCATGTGTGTGGTGAAGAACTTGGCCTTGTCCCCAGTCTCCAGCGGCTTCTGTCTGTCCCAGGGCACTGGGCTTCCCTCTTTATACAGATGGTACTCCTGGGCCTCCAGGGTCCCCTGACACCAGATGGTTACGGGGCTCCACTGGGGGATCATAGAGCCTGGCTCAGCCCAGATGATGGGTTTGGGGAGGGGCCCTTGAAGGAAACCAGTATCAGGGTAGCAAGATATTCCCACCTCCAGTTCCCAGCTCTCATCCCACATCCCTCCCAGGCATCTCCCATCTGTCAGCCCAGAAGAATTGTTTTTCTTCAGCTTCCCATGGGGTGGCCTCTAGTCCCCATTGAGGATTGAGGCCTGGGACACCTGGGGACAGACTCACCTGCCTGCAGTGGGGTCCAGAGGCCCACACTCAGCCCTGGAAGAGAGTCCCTGTGAGAGATTTGCCCTGAACCCTGAGAAGCACCCTCCTCCCCATGAGCCTCCTGAGTCCTGGGTCCTGACAGACCAGGGCTCCCCTCCCCCTCCCATCTCACCGAGGCAGAGCAGGGCCCTGAGGGTGGCGGTCATGGCGTCTCTCTCTCTGGTTGCTGCTGTGCAAATGGAGGAAGCCACTGTGTCCTCAGAACAGACAGACACACAGGGTGTGTCCCCCGGGAGGATGGTCTACCTCATCATGGGGCTGTCACGTCAGCAGCCCCAGGAAAGGGAACAGCCCTCCCTCCCCCACCCTGGGTGGGGAGGGCCTGGCCCTCATTTCCTCAGGGCTGAGGCCTGGGCGGGCAGCAGGCTTCTGCAGACATTTCTGACCCTGTCTCAGGCCCCATTTCATCCATAAGCTTCTGCCTCACTGGCCTGAACTCCTCTTTGACCCAAGCATCCACCCTTATTCTTGAGGATTTGCCCATGTGCCTGGCCCAGGAACACCACTGAACCACACAGATTCCAACTCTGAGCTTGCAAACCTCAGATTAGCCAAATAGTGCAAAACTGCATCACCATCTCCAAAAATGAGAGAGGAAGAGAGAGAGAGAGAGAGAGAGAGAGAGAGAGAGAGAGAGAGAATTAGTGTCCTGTTTCTGCTATAACAAATACCCATATGCTTAATGGGTTAAAGCAACAGTGATTAATCATCTTTCCATTCAGGAGTCAGAATGGGATTCCTTGTCTTTCAAGCTTCACAGGCTGCCCATATTGTGCCCATTCATTCTCAGGGCCAGCAGTTACATCACTGTCCACGGCTCTCCTCATCACATCTCTTCGGCTCTGTCCTCCTGCCTCCCTCATTCAATCCCCAGGATTTTCTGATGACATGGAGCCCACCTGGATTACCCAGGGCCATCTCCCATCTCAACATCCTTAACTCCATCACACCTGCAAAGTCCATAGTGCCATGGGAGGTGACATAGGCAGGGGTGTTGAGGAGTAGGAGGTGCATATCTTTAGAAGGTCCTTGCTCTGCCTGCCTCGTGCCGTTGGGGACTTCTTGAGCCACATAAACCACTTCTGTCTGGGGATGGGGTGCTATTGATCATGCTCCTTTCAAGGTGTGCTCAGGTATCACGTCCCATTCCATGATGGGCATCTCATGCCTCATGGTGACTTGGCTAAGACGACCTCTGGTAGAGCCCAGTAACAACGCCAACATTGTTTCACAGAGGAGGATAGTCCTCCACAGAAATGCATAGTGTGACTCCAAAATAGTAAATGTCTGTGCTTTATTATTGATTGATTGATTTTTTTTTAATCCTCGCGTAAGGATATTTTTCCATTGGCTTTTTTTAAGGGAGAGTGTAAGAGAGAGGGAAAGACAGAGAGAAACACTGATGTGAGAGAAGCACATCGATTGGTTGCCTCCTGCATGAGCCCCGACCAGGACCCAGGCCAGGGAGGAGCCTGTAACCAAGGTAGGTACCCTTGACCAGCATTGAATCCGGGTCCCTTTGGTCCCCAGGCCAACGCTCTATCCACTGTGCAAAACTGGCTAGGGCCAAATGTCTGTGTTTTCATTTATCTGTAGTCCCCCCAAGACTCTGTATAATGACCTCATCTGCCATAATTTCCAAACACAATTGGATCTCCTGGGTCACACAGCCCAGGCAGCCTGGACCAGTTGCAAAGATGTCTCTTGTTCGGGGCCACACCCAAAACCAGCATCCTCTCAAGACATTCATACGTGGGTGGAGGTGACATGCCCAAGGAGGAATATGTTGTCTCCAACTTCCAACAAAGGTCCACCAGGAATTGGGTTTGCTCCTCGTTCACAAGAGGGTCCTATGGAGCTGACTCCTCACCATGGATGGGCTATCTCACCACGCCCCGGGGAACTGGACTCCTAGGAATTTCACCCAGACAGCAAGGCCGGAGATGTGGGCAGATCCCTTTCCCACACTCTGGAATGCATCGGTCTTACAATGCCTAGAGGGGTTGCTAACTTCCTGTTTCTGCAGGTCCAATCCACGTGGTACATAATGACCTGTGGGGTGTCCTGCCCAATGGAGGGGTGATCCTGGTCCCTACAGCCTAGGTTAGGGCTCTGGAGACTTCCTCTCTCCTACGGGAGGGCAGTTGAGTATGTTGTTGGCCCTGACACGCAGAAGCAGACTGACCTTGTAGCCGTTAGAAATAGATCTAGAGAGAGTCCGTTTTCACGAGATGAAGAGCTGGACACCAGGAGATGTCCGGGTTTGGAGGGGGGTGGTGTTTTTTTCCAGTAATGAAGATTCCGTTGAGGCAGAAATTAAAATCACCACCTGGTACACAGGAAACCACTGCGATTCTTCAAGGTGCATTTGTCCTCGGCAGAAGCCAACCAGGGAAGTCGCAACCAGGGGATGTGGATGGAATCCTGGTCCCTGTGTCTTCCAAGTCCTTGGTGGTGGCACAAATCTGTGCAGTCCTACCAGGTGGGAAGGGCAGTTCCAGTGCCGTCCACCACACCCCCGGTCTTTCCTCCGTTGTATCTCATACTCCACAGCTCGGGTATTGCAGATGTCCGTACCATTGGGGAATTCCAGAACTAGGGAAATAGCTACAGGGCAGGTTCGAAGACCCAGGCAATCTGCATTCATCGCCTCACCTCTTTAAGCCTCCACTCTGACTGGCAGGAGCCAGTGGTTTGGAGATACCCAGGATTAATTGAGTATTTAACAGAATGGCTAGGTCAACAACCAATAGAAAAGAATCTGCAGGAAATTACAGGAATTACAGGTTACTATTTTACCAGTAAAAAGGGTGATAATGCCCAGCCAGCGTGGCTCAGTGATTGAGTGTCTTACCTATGAACCAGGAGGTCATGGTTTGATTCTGGGGCAGGGCACAAGCCCTTGTTGTGGGCTCGGCCCCACCAGGGGCGTGTGGGAGGCAGCTGATCAATGATTTTCTCTCATCATTGATGTTTCTCTCTCTCCCTCTCCTTCTCTGAGATATATATATATATATATATTGAAAGGTGAGGACATTGTTTTTAAATGATGGGAGACTCAATGACCAGGAAATGAAAAGCACACACGCAGAGAATGGTGACCCCCGCCGTCCATTCTCAAGTTCCAAAGTACTTTCCAGAACGTGAATGTGCATGAGGCCCAGCTCATAAATCTTTCTCTTTCCTGGAGAAACAAGCTCTTGGAAAGAAGTCCGAATCTCCTGTTATCCCACTAAGAAATTCCTGCTCGGTGACTTCCCATTCCACGGCAGGTGTCAGATTTGAATCTGCCTCTCTTGGCGAATGTCCACTCCCATCTCACCTTGACCCTCGCCCAGATAATGACCTCATCTGCCATAATTTCCAAACACAATTGGATCTCCTGGGTCACACAGCCCAGGCAGCCTGGACCAGTTGCAAAGATGTCTCTTGTTCGGGGCCACACCCAAAACCAGCATCCTCTCAAGACATTCATACGTGGGTGGAGGTGACATGCCCAAGGAGGAATATGTTGTCTCCAACTTCCAACAAAGGTCCACCAGGAATTGGGTTTGCTCCTCGTTCACAAGAGGGTCCTATGGAGCTGACTCCTCACCATGGATGGGCTATCTCACCACGCCCCGGGGAACTGGACTCCTAGGAATTTCACCCAGACAGCAAGGCCGGAGATGTGGGCAGATCCCTTTCCCACACTCTGGAATGCATCGGTCTTACAATGCCTAGAGGGGTTGCTAACTTCCTGTTTCTGCAGGTCCAATCCACGTGGTACATAATGACCTGTGGGGTGTCCTGCCCAATGGAGGGGTGATCCTGGTCCCTACAGCCTAGGTTAGGGCTCTGGAGAGTTCCTCTCTCCTACGGGAGGGCAGTTGAGTATGTTGTTGGCCCTGACACGCAGAAGCAGACTGACCTTGTAGCCGTTAGAAATAGATCTAGAGAGGGTCCGTTTTCACGAGATGAAGAGCTGGACACCAGGAGATGTCCGGGTTTGGAGGGGGGTGGTGTTTTTTTCCAGTAATGAAGATTCCGTTGAGGCAGAAATTAAAATCACCACCTGGTACACAGGAAACCACTGCGATTCTTCAAGGTGCATTTGTCCTCGGCAGAAGCCAACCAGGGAAGTCGCAACCAGGGGATGTGGATGGAATCCTGGTCCCTGTGTCTTCCAAGTCCTTGGTGGTGGCACAAATCTGTGCAGTCCTACCAGGTGGGAAGGGCAGTTCCAGTGCCGTCCACCACACCCCCGGTCTTTCCTCCGTTGTATCTCATACTCCACAGCTCGGGTATTGCAGATGTCCGTACCATTGGGGAATTCCAGAACTAGGGAAATAGCTACAGGGCAGGTTCGAAGACCCAGGCAATCTGCATTCATCGCCTCACCTCTTTAAGCCTCCACTCTGACTGGCAGGAGCCAGTGGTTTGGAGATACCCAGGATTAATTGAGTATTTAACAGAATGGCTAGGTCAACAACCAATAGAAAAGAATCTGCAGGAAATTACAGGAATTACAGGTTACTATTTTACCAGTAAAAAGGGTGATAATGCCCAGCCAGCGTGGCTCAGTGATTGAGTGTCTTACCTATGAACCAGGAGGTCATGGTTTGATTCTGGGGCAGGGCACAAGCCCTTGTTGTGGGCTCGGCCCCACCAGGGGCGTGTGGGAGGCAGCTGATCAATGATTTTCTCTCATCATTGATGTTTCTCTCTCTCCCTCTCCTTCTCTGAGATATATATATATATATATATTGAAAGGTGAGGACATTGTTTTTAAATGATGGGAGACTCAATGACCAGGAAATGAAAAGCACACACGCAGAGAATGGTGACCCCCGCCGTCCATTCTCAAGTTCCAAAGTACTTTCCAGAACGTGAATGTGCATGAGGCCCAGCTCATAAATCTTTCTCTTTCCTGGAGAAACAAGCTCTTGGAAAGAAGTCCGAATCTCCTGTTATCCCACTAAGAAATTCCTGCTCGGTGACTTCCCATTCCACGGCAGGTGTCAGATTTGAATCTGCCTCTCTTGGCGAATGTCCACTCCCATCTCACCTTGACCCTCGCCCAGACACTCCCGGGGCCCCATAAGAGCTTCCTGTCCTGTGGATCCCAGCATCATCTTCTCACCTGGTGTTCAGGACCTTCAAGGAAGGGACTACCTTTGCATTTCAAACCAAG